ACATACCTCAAACCTTCTGAACACGTACTTGTCATCTACTTGTCTCAGGAAGCATTGCCTCTGAGGAAGAAAGAAACATTATCCAGGAAAGCAAAGACTCCATAAATGCTCCGAGAGGTCTGAACAACTTTTGCATAGCTCTGTAAGGCCAGGATACTAAATGAAGGTATTAACTGACAAAAGTGCTCCATAAAGTCCATTGGCAAACAATTTGGTCAATAAAACTGACAAACCACAATTTTGTTAAGTAAAGGAAACTGGTACAGACAGTGGGAGATCATTTGGCCTTACGAAAGTAAATGGGTACCTGGAATATTTGACCAGCTACGACTGGAACTGCAGATGAAGCCAGATGCTCCAGGCTTCCTCAGACCCCTGGTGAGAGATCACCTGGACTCTTGTCAACACAGGGCTGCAACTGCCATTGAAGCAGACTCCCTACTACTACCCTTCTCATCAATTACCTCTAATCAGGGAAAAACTCCCCTGCAATACATCCCTTTATACTGACACCATTCAGAAAGCATGGATTTTTGCAAGCTGTAACACATATCTAGAATGTTATTTATTCTGACAAAAAACAACTAATCCAAACAGCATGTGTTTAGTTAACGGGCCTCTTTTTTTGGAATACAAACCATGAAAGCAAAGACAATCCTATCAAAGTACTTGCAATGGAAATGGGGAATGAAAGGCAGGAGACTGAAAGGTAATATCCCTAAACAGATGTTCCTCAGTCCTTTCATAAAGAGACTACCAATTTATTAAAGAATCTACAGTGAATGTTAAGTAATCACAACGTCTGCAAAGGAAACAAGTTTCCATCATCTTCTAGTTCTGTGCTAGCTTTGATAGAGCTAAAAATCAATCCAAGTAACACATACATAGATTCCCTCGTAGAAGGCTGCATTCTTTTCTACACCTCTCTCCCTAGATACACTCTTATATATCTTACACACATGTATGTGGGTCAGTCTTCCATGAAGCAGCGTGAAAGAAGGGATCTACACATTTTCCAGGGTCTGAAATGTTATTTCCTAGCAAAATCTGACAATTCACAAATGAGACAAATTCTTATCCCCAGCTATTGGCCCAGACATTGATACAAGAGAGCAGACCGCTATGAAAAATCTCAGATACTAAAGAAAAATACGCAAGGAAGAATGTGATTAAATCTCTCAAACAGGGGACTCGGGTAAGCAAACCTCAACCAGCATTATATATATTTATGGAAGTCAGTCAAACTTTTGGCCGTCCCTTCCTGAAAGTGAATGTAAACAGTGACACTTTATTCAAAGAAAAATATGGTATTGTGTCTGTTGGATGGACCCATTCCAACCTTAAAGTGGGCTTACTTTATAAATACAGCATGAAAGTGGGCTCTGCTTCTGCTAAATCCCACAGAAAAATCAATTGACTGTGAATGGCCTTGTGCAATTCAAACTAAAATAACACATGTTGTTCAAGAGAGTAGACATCTTTCATAAATTCATCTTCCTAAGTCTAATAACTCAAGTATCTGGTAAAATCAGCAGGGAAGCACCTACTATTTCTCTGAATGCTGAGTCTGTATAAGCAAATGGGAAATCCTGGGAATTTTCAGTAAATTTGCACCTCCAACTTGGCCTGGTGTCTTGTGTTTCTCATAGAATCATATAACCGTATAGGTTGGAAAAGAGCTTTAAGATCATCAAGTCCAACTGTCATCTCACACAAAATTTCAGCAAGTTCTAATATCATATTCAAACTAAAGTAATATGTTCAAAAGCTGTGTTTTTAGCACCTAGTAATATCAGGTAATGAAGAATGGTAATGCTCATTAACTTTTCATTGTGAAATGGGATTTTTATCAGTGCCATAAAAACAAGCAAACAAAACCCCAACTGTCTTCTATTACGCTGACAGTTGCATTTCTTCATTATGTATCAGCAATTAGTTTAACACTAGCATAACTAGAATGGAGTAACGACTCCAGATGCTATGACAAAGGAAGTTTTCAGTCCTTAAAAATGCATCTTTAGGAATAGCAGGAAGGGAAGAAGTCTCAGAGAAAACAAAATTCTCTGCCAACATATAAACTGAAGAAATGATACCACAACAGAAAATTCTTCATGTGCACAACAGCTCAAGTTAAAAACTAAGCAGTACTTCAGGCATTCATAACAGCTTCCCCAGCCTATCAATGGACGTGAAGTAAAGAGATAGGTATAAGGACTCTTCTAGACTTTATAACCCAGATATAAACCAGGTTTATACTTAAAATATGAATAGCTGTATTTTTCAGTTATTGACTTAAAATGATAAAGGACTGCTTTTCACCTTTTCTGGTGTTCCAAGTTCAGAAAGGTGCACTGAATGCTAATACAAGCAAGCTTCTCAGTGCTACACAAAGGCTGTTTTCTGTTCTTCTGGATTTTTTTGGTGTAAAGATTTTCTAAAATTCTTGTATGCTTCCATCCAGTCCTCCTCTGTATCTTTTCTCTCATCTTCTGGATTCTCAAAACAAAAGCAGTCCATGTTCATGAATGCATTCTTCTTCTCTGTCTCAAAGTGGGGAAGGAAGAGAATTAACTGCAAAGCACATCACCTCTGACACCAATCTCTGAAGCTGCACACCAAGGTCCTTATCTCAGACATCAGCCTGAGAAACACGTTATGAAGAATATAATACACGTCGCTCCTGTTCACTTTGGATTACAATTTCATTTTCTAATTCTTCTTGGTTGTATTATGCATAATTTTCTTGACTGATACCACCTATTTAAAAAGAAAAGAAAATATCTAGCTCCTTTCTTCTTAGTCATAATCTGACACTAAATAACTTACTGAAACACATAAAATTTTGGTATGAATTGCCCAAAGAAATTTGTCTGGAGCAACACTCCATAGCACAACAAAGCTCTGCCAATCCCCAAATCCAACACCACAAGCAGCACAGCAAACCTCCCTGCCATTCAAGCTTACTTTTTTCTTTTTTTTTTTTTCTCCCAGCATTTCAGTGAACTCACATTATTCCAGGTCACATAGAAAAATCTATCTATCTATTTGTACAGTATGAAACATCATAAATAACCATCATATAATCGTAAAAAGAACCAGTGTAAATGACAGTGGTACTATCTGGTTGCTGTTCTATTTTCTAAGTGTTTGGGGTTTGGCAGCTGGTTCACAAACTTGAGTATACAACAGTTCTCCCAAACACAAGTCTAGATCAGGGAGGTTCTATCCCAGCGCAACACCACCCAACTGTAAAGCCAGAAGAACAAACAAAATCCCTGGGCTTTTCTCGTTTAAGATAATCAGACTGATTTATTATTTTCCTGTCACCAGTTGTTTATCTCAGGCTTGAGCTACTTACTTACTCACTTTTAAAAGTATATAAAAAGAAGAACAATAGTCCAACAAGTACAAGTCACTCCATTTACTCACCAATCCATTTCCTTTCAACCTTTCCAGAGTTCAAACAGAGGAAGCGTGCAAAAACCCTGGGTTAAGTAGCGGAACTTTTCGAATAACTACTAAAAAGAAACCCGGTCCACATAGATCACTTTCAAAGGATAATTAAAAGGAAATCATACATGAAAAAACGTTAAAGTATTTATAGCACTAGACAGAGGATCACAGGTGCCATAAAGCTGATCCCCAGAAACAGAGTTTCCAGGTTACATTTTAATTAAGAAAACATTCACATACATGTCAATGTGAAACAAAATATTCCAAAATTTAATATCTTACATATTCCAAATCTAGTTTGCTAATATGCAATACCATTATTATTATTATTTATTTAGCCTATTCCCTACTGCCTCACAAAGGCAAAACTGATTTTGGAAGTGAAGAGCTTGCATGATATGCAGAAGAGATACTCTGTACATTCCTTCCATTAACATACTTTCGAATGAAGCTTTTTTATGCCACCAGTCAAATTCCCCAATTTTGGTGTCCCCACATACATTTGGCTGCATGGATATGATCCATTTTCCTCCTCTAGTCCTGTATTCCTTTGTTTCCTTCTTAAAAAAAAAAAAAAAAAAAAAGTTTAACTAACAAGTGAAAAATGTCCACAGGCATCTTACATTGATTCCTTTAAAAAAAAAAGAAGGAAAAAAAAAAAAGCCCCATCCAGACAGCTTCTTCATTTGGAGAACAGCTTTACATTCCTGAGAGTGAGTAACTGTTGGAACAAGACTGCCTCTAAATGTTCCAGGACTTGTCAGACATTGTAATCAGGGGACTTTCCCTGTGGTTGTCGCAGTCGAATTTGTAAGGTAGAAAATGCTCCCACAGTCACATGAAAGAAGAGCTGCCACAGGTTGCGCAGTTCATACAGGTACATGTTACACAGGCAAATTAACCCAAAAGTCAGGAAGGATTTGGCATTCCTCCAGCCTGTGTAGTATACAAACAGGTAACACTGTCAGGAAGAAAAAAGAAATCAGATTACCACATGAAGAATAACTTCCACTGAAGAAACATTATCTGGTCATTGAGAAATTACAAACGTGAAGCAAGTAAACCTGTAAATCAACCATGTAAGAACAGTATCAATTTAGCAGTCATGCAAGGGTGAAAAGTACCCGTTATGAATACGGGGTTATATTTTGCTTCCATTAAACCCTGTTTGAGAACAACTCTCTAATAATAATTGATTACAACCTGCAATAATGAGTGGCTCATGACAAAGGAAAGTGGATGTTCCTGGCAATCTCTGGTCAAAAGACACTCTGTTCCACCTGAGCAATGGAGAAGGAACAAGAGCCAGTATTAAGTCTTCTTCAGGCAAAGCAACATGAAGGACAGGGAAAATACCAGGGCCCTGAAGCTGGGAATACTCAGCATAAGGCAATCCCCCAGATACCAACCCAGTGTCCTGTTCGGGTTAATGCAGAGAATCTACTGGTGGATGCGGAGAGATTCGCATATATCCACCATACTCCTTCAGGTGGTGCAAGACAGATCACATTTGGAGAGAAATAACTCTACTGTACTTCTACCACGTTTTAAGGGTCAGTTTCTGCACGCTGTGGTGTAACAGAGCGTCAGGGCTGCCCGCAGTTTCCCCACTCTGCCTTCTTCCTACTGCAACTGGAAATCTGTTCAAGTCTCTCACCTCAGTTTTCATCTCTAAAAGGACATAGCTGTCCAGCACTTTTTTGTGGACATTATTTTTACTTCTGCTGTTGTTTAAACTACTTCCTTGACTTCCACAAAAAAATTGTTTGCCCCCTCTGTGTTCTAGCCATTTCCATCTGATGAAGAAAGTTTTGGCTAGGCTTAAAGGTAAATAACAACATCACTTGGGCTTACTTTGTATTGCAAATCTGTTCCCAGCGTCCTGGTGGATATATAAACATGCTCAGAAAAATTTTTTAACAGCATTCATTATGAGATTATCTAAGTGTCACTTCTATTCTTCTTGGGCATTTGCCATGTTTTATCAGAGTCAGAGAAGCTTTGCTCAATGTTTTTTCATTTTTCATGTTCCTCAAAAAAAGACAAAAGCATTGTACACTCACAACCGAACTAATGCAATTTATTGAGATTACTTTATATTCTATTCAAAATGTATCCAATTTCTTATAAAACATGCGTGTCTACTGTAACTGTGGCTCAGATTAACAAAACTACTTGTGATTTCTGGACATCTAAGTATCTTCAGAGATATGAGTACTGATAATAACGGTAAGATTTGCATGTCCTTACTCCGAAGCAAAGTAAACTAGAGATAAGTAATCTGCATGTTTCGGAATTAGATGGAATTCCTCTGAACCTGCTTGGCCATTTTGAGCAGAGCAAATGCAACCTACTTGGGCTGACAGTTTTACAAATCACATCTAAAAAAGCAATTAGTTGGTACCAGCATCTCAGCAGTAAGAATTCAGATAATATCCTAGCGTCATTGCTTATGAAGAAGTATAACTGCTTCCAAGATTAAAATAAGGGTCAGGATATGCTACATCAAAATGATTAATAAACATGAAGGGCTTAAAAAACAAAAATACTACAGAAGTTTAAAAATGTCACTGCAACATGATATTGAACGACTGAATTTTGCTTAAGATGTGTTTTAAATGAATTCTGGAGCTTATTTTTTCCTGTCGGGGTTTGAGATGCTAGAAGATTTGTCACTTACAAAACAGAGCAAAAGGCCAACCACTGTGGTTTTAACACCTTGCTATAACAAGTGCTGGTATGAAACTCCTGAGGGCTTTTTTTTCTTCTATTGAAGGAAAGTGTCAGCATGGCAATTACTGAGCATGCTTTTATGCAGTAGGCTCCTCTGCTACTTCAGAGAAGATTTTGATTGTTGATTTTTTATTTATTTATTTTTAATAAATGTTAAGAAAGGATGGAAAGCTCAGCTGCTGACACTCTGCACTTCGGGTACCACTGAGACAATTGTTACTTTTGTACATTTCCTTCTTCAGAAGAGACTAGCAACCATGGAGGAACACTAGACATGCCAGCTCTAGATAAACTGGAACAGGCATTTCTCAACTTGGACATATTATCAGAGCTCCTAATCTTGGTTATTTTACCTTGTGAACGTTATGGCATTGCTATTTTGTCAGTGTTGCAATACTCAGTTACAATTTTATAGGCATATTAGGCCATAAACCAGAAATAGAAGAACTTAAGAGTTTACTTGAAAATGGCACCTTCAAGCAGGAAAAAAAAAAAAAATCTTCCAAAATGTAAAAAAAACTTAAGCAATTAAAAATCACAGTTTATATTGTAATGCTGTTAAGAAAATGCCCTAAAGCTTTACATTTGATTTCGATATAAACGTGAACCTAACTACCGCTAGCATCATCTTGAAATGAAAGGTTTTATATAGTATAGATACAGTTTATATAGTAGATGTTGATGGTGGTGGACCATTCCCCCACAATGCTAGAACAGCTGCTGCTTTTCTCCTTAGACGATCTGAAAATACCCAGATCGCATACCAGCTGTGAAAATGTAAAGGGAACACTATTATTATTTCAGTTTGATACATACAGATATACGCCTGCAGCCTTAACTGGCGACTCAATACATCCTGTGTATTACTACAACACTTCAATAAGTAGCAGAGGACTTTCTTCATGCTGTTTACTCTCACTTGCGTTCTTGGTATTTAGAGCTAGACTGTGAGGATGCTCGTCCTGGTCCAAAGAGCTTCATTTCAAAAGCAAAAAGAGCTGGCATAGAAACTCCTCCATTCATACATTTATTGGCTCCTAATAATCATGACCAAATTACACTCTTCATCTTTGTACACGGAATGTTAGTGAGCCCAAAACATCCTGTTCCATTTCAGTCCTGGTTTTTGCCTGCACAACTAGTTTACAAACATTATCGCGGAAACTAGAAAGAGAAACACACTGCTATGTTGTTATTAACTGAACAAGAAAATACAACGTTATTGAAGCCTTGTGGGTGAATGATAATGAAATGTGCTGTCATGCAACATACGGAATTAATCTCCCGAACTCTTAATGCAGCAAAAGAACATCAGAGCATGCCACAGAACTGCCAGCCCTCTCAGTTCTGAAAAATGACCAATGAGATATCGTACAAATCACATTAGAGGGTGTGGAACAAGAGTCCTGACAGATATATTTTGAATATTAAGAAAAAGCCCACATCTTGAGCTGCATGAATTCTTTCTTTAAAATAGATATATTCAATTCAGACAGTGGGGGAAAGACACATGTCCTTATGTCTTAATGCACAGACATGAATACTTCATAAAGAATACAGTTTCTAATTTGGTAGAGGAGGGGAGAATATGTATTTGTCACACAAAAATAGAATGGAGGAGCTCCACCTTATCTGATAAGGAACAGATCACTGGCATGGAAAATTAACACCAATCTGAAGAATTATTTAAGGCAGGCGCTGATGAAAAGTCAACAAGTGGTGAAGAACATAAGTTGTACTGTGACATTTTGCTAGAGATACAGAGAATGGAGATTACTGGTGTAACCTGGACAAAAGGCCGACAGATAGAAAGGTTGAGATAAAAGGAACGAGATTCTGAGATATTATTTTATTTTACAGTCTGACACTGTACTAGACATCGGCACATGGAAACAAGTAGAAACTGCATACTCCACTCCACGAGGAGGAGATTAAAAGTCAAAAGAATTGCAGTAACAGCAATTGAGCATGAGACATTATAGTCATAGCTAAACATAACAGTAGTGTCACTGAACGGCAAATGCCAATGAGCACCAGAACACCTTGCTACAAATTACACAGGAAAGTCAGATTCAGATGCAGAAATGGAAAACCTACATAACTGAAATGTAATGTGAAACATCAGACAGGAGAAAGAAACCGGAGCAGAAAGTGGCTGAAAGCTTTGAGAAGGAAGGAGGTGCACAGTAATGGACAAAGTAAGGAAAATTCTGGGGTGTAGTGCCTACGTATTACTTCAAATCTTCCCAAAGGAAAGCAGCAGTAAGGCATTTGTTTCAGATGTTTAGATTTACTTGAACTGTGAAACTATTATTTTAAGGAAATGATACAACCTCCATGTGACTTTAGAGATAAATTATAAGCTCTGGACAGAAAGGCATACCAAATCTCTTAAACAACTAATCAAAGAAAAATGCCAGCAAACATAAGCTCTTTGTATCAATCTACTGTATGATAGTTTATGATTAATGAAATAAAACAGAGCAGAAATTATTTTGACATTTAAGAAAACATGGTGACATTTATGCACGACTGGGTAATGTTTCTAAACTCTAGTGAATTATGCAAGCAGAAGAACACACCTGGTACAAACAGGCTAATGTTCCAAGAAAAAATGCAATAACGTAGCTGAAATCTTCACCTTCATTCTGTGAAAATAAAACAAAAAGCCGTGTTTTACAATGTATGAGTGAAATACCAGATATTTACAGTATGAAAGTTATTCATTATTGTATGTTAAAAATAGTCTTGCACAGAGATTTATAATAATTCCTATACTACGCTAAACAAAAGGAGTTAGCACTAAACACCGCTTACATATATGTCTGGAGAAAATCCCCCATGATCTGGAATCTGACCAAAATATTTATTCACAACAGACAAATAATGCTGAGATTTTCAAAGGCCTTAAAGAAAGTCCAGCTCTAACACTGGACACTTACCTTCTCTAGATGCCTTTGAAAATTCAAGTCTAAACACCGGTAACTACTTATAATACCAACTTTGTAGAATGTGCCTTCCTTCAGCTTCACAAAATGGAAACGAGACAAAACAAAAAGACTGAAACTGGCCGCTAGGGTGTGGTAAAATTCTACACAGAAAACAACACGAGCAGCTCTGCCCTCATAGCAGTGAGAACAAATAAAAGCACATGATTTTATCACAGGGCTATTATTGGAAAATTAAGTTTTCCTGAAGGAAAAGATGGAAAAGTTTACCTGAAGTGATAGAGTTTTCCACTATGTATTTAAAAAAAACAAAACAAAACAAAACAAAATTCCTTCAAACTTATTCAAATGGGGTTTTGTAGTTCCTGTAGAGCTGAGCAGTGCTCAGTGATAATTTTAACCGCATTTCCAACAAACGTCCATGACAATCAAAAGCTTTCCATTGAAAACAACAGGTACTCATGCAAATGTTCTTCCTCGAACGCAAATTTCATTTTGAGAAGGTGGTCCATTCGGAACTACAACTTGTTTCTGCTCAGAGTATGTTCAGTGTGAAGCATTTGCATCTACAGTGTTGACTAGGGAAAAGTTTGTATGCACATAAAACTTACCCACACAATGCAGTACGCTCCTATACGATACGTAAATCTTTGCCCCAGTGCCACTGCATATATGCTGCAGCATAGCTACAGATTGTAACAAAGTTTTGCTAAGACCCAAATAAAAACACCGGTCATAAATGAAACACTAATTCAGACAGAAGCTTTTGAATGAATTTTCAAAAGAAATTCCATTAATCATGTTTTGGATTATTTCTCCCCAAACCCTGTGGATTTTTCCCTAATAAAGTAAATTAAGGGAAATTTTAATGGATTTTTAGTGGGCCTCATTTGTCAGAAATGAAAAAATATCTTCCATCTGTACTGCCATCTATTACCTCCAGATGCAGTAATAGATAGAATAAAATGAACTGGCTGCCCTATCATCAGTTAAATAGGTTAATCTAACATCAGCATTCCTTTTTTAAAAAAATCAGCTGTGGAAAGGTGACAAAAAAAGTTCTAGACACATTACATAAATTGATAAAATTCTGTTCAGTACTATTTGTACTACAGTGTACTTTGAATTCATTCCTATTTATAAACTGAGAGAAGTGTGCATAACACAGAAAAATCTAATTAGGGATAAAGTAGAAACGTATGCTCGCTATTTCGTTCTTGGTTTTTCTTTAAAAAACAAACCAAAAACAACTGAAAAGAAGGACCTAGCATGGAACACTCATTAACCCCGTTCACCTATTCATCAGTCTTCAGGAAATGCTGAGACCTCAACCTTTACTGCTTTATTAAACCTTTACATATATCAATAATTTTGTAAGACAACTGGAATACAGGTCATGTTCTTTACCTTACTTTCATAAAAAGTCCATTAGGTATCAAAAGCACTGCAGTTATAAAGTCTACATATATGTTTGAATAAAAAAAATTATCTATTAGCCAAGCAGGAGGATTCTCATTTTCTTTCAGAAAACTTCCATGGGATTTTTAGTTTCTACCTCCATCACCACAACAGTAAAGGCATTTAATGCTAAGTAACTTTTCTTTTTTTGTGGTAACACACATGAACTTCCTACCACCACATTCACCTGAACTGCTTGGAATCATTAAGCACTATTATTTTCATTGTGGCAATAAGAATACAACTAGCACAAGAAATGGAAAAGAAAGAAACAAAAAGGCTACAGGGAGGGTCAGAGCAGAGAGTTCACATAAACAAATAAATGTTTGTTGGGGACGTTGTTTGATAAAGGGGGGGGGGGGGGGGGGGAGAAAAAAACAG